TATTGTTAAGATGGCGCCCTTAACGATTGGTATGGCGGTGACTTGGCCCAAGAGATGTCTTAAGTGCCTATCTATCAGTTGACATTTGAAACGAGTCTAATGACTCGTTCTAATTATTTCTTTCAGCGATGGAGGGTGATGGTGGTATTATGAATAGGGAGAACTCGGAAGGGTTTGCACCGGGTGGAACCGGGCATGCCAACCGAGAAAAGCCCTTAAGACCAAAGGTGCACGAAATTCTTGAAGCTCAAATCGTGAGTGGTGGTCATGTTAAGACCAAGGAAGAATCACCTTGTCATGGCAAAACTGAACCACTCATGGCTTCGGGTGACGAAGGAGATGATTTGAGTGATGAGGACCTTGATGGTGCACCCATCGAACAAATGGGCATGGTCATAGATTGGCTTCAACGTGAACGTGTGAGGCTTATACAAAAATGCCAAGCTAGGCGAGCTGAGGGCATACCATTAGTAAGGAAAAGGAAGCGGGGAGACAATGATTCCCAAAGACATTCAAGGAGGACAAACGTTGAGGGTGACAAAACCTTCAGGGCGCAGACACTATCACTTGAGTGGAGTCGAGGCTCGGGTGGCCAGAACTCGAGGTCAAAAGGTCTGAGGGTACCTAAGTGCAACAATTGCAAGAAACACCACTCGGGTAAGTGTCAGGACCCTCCCAGGTGCTATCAATGCACAGAGGTCGGGCACACGAGAGTGAGCTGCCCACAAATTGGGCAAAACCAAACTTCGAGGTCAAGTGGTAGAACTACAGGCAACGAAAACCAAGTTGGGGCTTCCCTAGCAACCATGGGGCAAGAAGGAGCAACCACGGGCAATGCACCATCCGTGAATCACGGAAGGACTCAAGCGAGAGTCTACGTGAGGACGGAGGCGGATGCTCAAGCTATCCCGGATTTCGTTGCAGGTATTACCTCTTGTATACTTGTGTTTTATCCTTTATTAGTCCATAAATTGAGGTTGCTAGTCGTTGGGATCATTGCACGAAGCTTTGGGGTCGAACCGGGAGGATTTCGGGCGATTTCGGGCTGTTTTTGGCCAGACACGATCGTGCCTAAGGGGCAAGCACGATCGTTCCTACATGGCAGTAGCTCCATAGACATTTTCAAGCCAGGCAAGACCGTGCCTACCCCCAGGCACGCCGTGCCTGGCACCCAGATTGCCGAAAATTGATTTTTCGCACCGTTTTGCGACGTTAAGACCTTTTCTTGATCCCTAACGTGTGTGTGAACATTTTAACCTTCTATAAATGAGTAGGGAGGGTAGGAAAGATGTCTTACATGGTTCATGAATGTAGGGACACTAAAGATTAATGGGAAGGATGCGCGAATCCTTATCGATACCGGGGCGCAACGTTCATTTGTGAGTGAAGCGTTCGCCAAGAAATTGGAAGTGCAATCCGCACCGTTGATGCAAACCTTAGTGGTATCAACACCACTAGGGGATGACGTGGAAAGAACTTGTTACTATCCATCTTGTGGGGTGGAAGTTAATGGTCAAACCTTGAAGTGTGACTTCGTACCGCTGAGCATGATTGAATTCGATGCAATCCTAAGGGTGGATTGGCTAGAAAGGAACCATGCTAGGGTAGATTGCTACACGAAGGTTCTTGAACTCGAAGACAATGATGGGGAGACCCTACGCTTCGAGGGTGATCGAGGGAAATCAAACAACTGTATCATATCCGCCGTGAGAGCGAGAAGTATGATGAGAAAGGGATGTCATGCATATCTGGCATACGTGGTTGACAAAACCAAAGAGGAAACGAACATCAATGATGTGAGGGTGGTTTGTAAGTACCCGGATGTCTTCCCTAAAGACCTACCGAGGCTTCCACTTGACAGGGAGATTGAATTTGTGGTCGAAGTCGAGCCGGGTACCGAACCAATCTCTATACCGCCATATCGGATGACACCTGCTGAACTTAACGAGTTAAAAACCCAATTGCAAGAACTATTGGATAACGAGTTCATTAGACCTAGCCATTCACCATAGGGAGCACCAGTTCTTTTTGTGAAAGGGAAAGATGGTACCCTATGAACGTGCATTGACTACCGACGATTGGACAAGGCTACCATCAAGAATAGGTATCTCTACCTAGGATTGATGACTTGTTTGACCAACTCCGTGGAGCAATAGTATTCTCAAGGATTGACTTGAGGTCGGGATATCACCAACTGAAGGTCAAGGAAAGTACCGAAAAGTGCCTTTCGCACGAGGTATGGTCACTTTGAGTTCTTGGTTATGCCGTTTGGGCTAACAAACGCCCCAACGACATTCATGGACTTGATGAACCGAGTATTCTATAAATACTTGAACAAATTTGTGGTCGTGTTCATAGACGACATCTTAATTCACTCAAGGAGTGAAGAAGAACATGAGAGGCACTTGGTCCTGGTTCTGGAAACACTACGAGAGAAGCAACTTTACGCCAAGTTCTCTCAGCGTGAGTTTTGGCTTAAAGAGATTGGCTTTCCCGGGTACGTGGTTTCCGGATCAGGCATTGCCGTGGAAAACAAGAGGATTGAGGCTATCACATAACGGGAGAGGGCCAAGGACATGAGGGGGATCCACAGTTTCCTTGGACAAGCGGGCTACTATAGAAAGTTGTGGGAAGGTTCTCAGTTTTGTCATCGCCATTGACGAAGCTCACTCGGGAGGGGGCTAAGTTGTATGGGATGACCGATGTGAGAAGGGTTTCCTTGAATTGAAGAGGAGGTTGATCAAGGCACCGGTACTTGCCCTACCAAAGCAAGGTATGGAGTACGATGTCTATAGCAACGCGAGCACTCAGGGACGTGGATGAGTGTTGACGCAGTTGGGGAGGGTGATTGCCTATGCTTCACGTCGGTCGAAGGAACACGAGGTAAATCATCCTACTCATGATTTAGAATTGGGAGTATGTAGTGGTGTTGCGCCACAAATATGGAGACATTATCTCTATGGAGAGACGTGCCATATATACACTGGCCACAAGAGCTTAAGTACGTGGTTACTCGAAAAGAGCTAAACAAGAGACAACAACGATGGGTGGAGTTAATAAAGGACTACCACCTAGTGACTGATTACCATCCAGGTAAAGCAAATGTCGTGGACATTGCCTTTAATATGAAGAGTTCATCTGAGGCATTGTTAACCGACTTGAGGTCATTGGGAGCTCAATTGGAAGTATCTACTAATGGCACCTCGGTGGGAGATTTGAGGTGAGATCTACCTCATTCAAGAAGGTTCGAGGATGCATGCTAGCGGGGCTGGTGGAGGATATCCGAATGGAAATGGAAACATGTGTCTATGGAATTCGTGGTAGGTCTACCACAGACATTCCAGGAATCTATGGGAACGAGGTTGAATTTAGGTATTGCTTTCGCATCCACAGACAGAGGGGCAACCCAAAAGGGGCATACAGATGTTGTAGGATATAATGATACATTGATGTCTTGTACGTTGGTGTTCCAATGAAATTGGGACAATAGCTTAATGCCTATGGAGTTTGGCTATAACAACAGTATTTAGGCAGGAATCGGCATGCTCGTGTGAGGCATTGTATGGGAGGATGTGTCATACACTGTTATGCTAGGGATGAGGTTGGCATGGCCAATCTCGAGAGCACTGAGTCGGTAGAGATCATCGAGGCAAATGGAAAACGGACTTGAGAAAGGCTTAAAACGGTGCAGGATAGCCAGAAGAGCTATGCCAGGGTGGCGATAAAAAAAAACCACACAGTTCAAGGTGGGTGCTAAAACAGAAGTCTTCTTCAGGGAGTAGTATTCTCTTCTACATGAGTAGGGTTGTGAATTTCGGGGACGAAATTCCCGTTAAGGGGGGGTGAACTTGTGACACCGCACCCGAACGTCCTCGAAAATTCAATTAAAAATTCAAAGTTTATGTATTGAATTTCCGATTCCCAAACAATTGTAAAACGATTGTTGTTTTACATAGTGCATGATTGAATAATGTACTGTCAAAACTCGTATATTAGTGTCGGGTTTTGCAAATACTTATTTGGGCCTTATTAATGAACGTAAGAGCCCAACATTTACCTAAATAATGTTACATAACCTTTCAAGACAAGTTGAGGAAGGTCGGGCGGTCCAAACATTATTTTGGGCCCAACCTGCTAAAAATAGCAAGTATTCAAGAATGGCGTCGTAGGCCCACTCGGGTGTGACCCACACGGCTAGTAGTCCAATATATGAATGACAATGTCAAAATAAGTGATAGTATAATTAGAGAAGAATACAAATGCCTATGGTCCCATCTTCGACATTTTTGAGCTAAATAATGGGAGTAGGACTTTCCTTCTATAATATTCATCATGTAAGTTATTGGGATGATCCTACACATGTTGGGAATCAATAATATGATTTATGAAGTTGACTTGGCCTACATAAATTATAAGGAGTACAAAAAGACATCTCATGACAAGAATAAAACAATAGGGTCCATCTTATCATTTTGGAAGTATTGGTAGGTATTTTGGACCCCAAATTGAATGGGATCATTTGGGAACCATCCCACATGACCTTGGTACCTGCAAGACAAAGAAAAATGGGTGAGACAACTATGTGAGGCGGACATTTGACTTGAGAGCTACAACATTACAAAAAAGAAATAAAAGAGGAGGTCCACACCATGTTTAATTGCAATCAAACACCCTACCCTTTCTTTTTGTGAACCACATGCTTAGATATCATTTTGAGAGCTCCTAAACACCTCCCCCTCACCCCTCATTCGAACTCCCAAGGATAAGGGAGAAGGAGAGAGCCACACAACAAAGAAAGCAAGAGAAAGGGGAAGCTGCCCGCAGGTTCATTTTCCAGTGCGTTGGTTTGTTTGTTTGGTTCATATCTCGAGCTATACTTATCCAAATAAGGCGTGTGAGGTTCCCAAAGAAAGCTCTCAAGAAGAGGAATCCATAGACGTGCGGTTTGAAGGAAACGGAGAAGTTTAAGGCCTCCAAATCGTCCGAACAAAACGCAACATCGCTGAATACGTTTTTGTATTCAAAGTAAGTTTGAATCCAAAACCTTCCTCTCTATTGTCTAAATCGTATGAATGATTGAAGAGCTATTATAAACTGGTTGGAGTGTATAAAATGTTATTATATAGTGACTTTAATTGTTGGAAAGGTTAGATACTAACCTAGACAAAACCTTGAAAGGTTAGGGAACGAATTCGCCGGAAAAACACCCGTTCTAGGGGCTGTTTTCGTATCGACATTTACGGGTTGAGCTAGCACTTTGAGGAGGCTGTTTAACACTCATATTTAAGCAAGGAATCAGTTCATAATCCACCTTTACCGGAGCTTTGACCATTGGATCAAGAAGGAAAAGTTTAAAGCTCAATTAAGGTGAGGATCGACATCTAATTACTTACAACTTGTAGGTTAAGCATGAGATTACCTAAATGCCTAAATCATAATTTTTCATGGATTATTATGATTAAATATTGATGAAATATTGATATAGTTCCCAAAGAATGAAATTGGAAATGATTTGAGGATGTATGAATAATATGAGATTAAATGAGTTATAAATGAACTATTTTGTGAAATGGGGATTTTACTCATGTATGAATTATGTGGATACATAAATGAATATTTATGTATTGAAATTGAGTACTTAAGTTGCTGCTACACACTTATAAATATGTGGAGAATTACAAAATGAGGATATTTGTATGATGACAATAATCTTAATAGTATTGAAATACTAGTTAGTGATTATTTGAAGTTGTTGATAGAATTGATCCTAAGTATTGGATTGTATGAAATGCACTTGAATGTACTTCAAGTGTATAAAATGACTTAGTATGAAGCTAAGGGTAAGTTATGGGCAGTCATTAAGAATGACCAAGGTAGATATTTGAGATGCCAATTCTAGGCATAGGTTTGCTTAGGAATTGGACTATAATGAGGAATTAGAGCCGGACTCTATGATTTGCATGGAAATGTAGTTGGTCCGAGACCTTGCTATGCAAATGTGATAGGATGTAATTGTGATTTGCATGGAAATGTAGTTGGTCCGAGACCTTGCCATGTAAATTGTGATTTGCATAGAAATGTAGTTGGTCCGAGACCTTGCTATGCAAATGTGATAGGATGTAATTGTGATTTGCATGGAAATGTAGTTGGTCCGAGACCTTGCCATGTAAATTGTGATTTGCATAGAAATGTAGTTGGTCCGAGACCTTGCTATGCAAATGTGATAGGATGTAATTGTGATTTGCATGGAAATGTAGTTGGTCCGAGACCTTGCCATGTAAATTGTGATTTGCATAGAAATGTAGTTGGTCCGAGACCTTGCTATGCAAATGTGATAGGATGCAAATGTGATAAGATGCAAATGTGATAGGATGAACTTGACATAAAGGATTGCATAACAATGTAGTTGGGCCGAGCCCTTGCTATGCAATGGTAATGTAACGAACTCTATGAATTGTCGTGGCTTATAGTCACGGGGAATGGGAATGGTGCTTTCTAAATGAACATGGGCCCACGGGCCGACTACTTGAATTTTATATAAAGTAGGTATATTTTCAAACGGGGTAACTAAGGGTTACCACTATATTGTATTATCACCCTATGTGAGGGTCTCGTGTTTGAAATACTTGTTGTATATCCCTTAGATGCCATCCACACCAGTACTTTATAGCCGTATAGAGTACTGACCCCTTCGGGGGCGTCCCACCACCATTTCAGGTTGAGGCTCGAGCTTGTTACCTGTGCCCGTTGCTCGGGTGATCCTTTGGAGAGAAGACGTGGTTCGTGCTTTCTCCATTCTGTTTTGAACAATATTAAACATGCTCATGGATATTTTACTATAGAGCCTGCGTGCTCATGAATAGCCCTGTGTGGCCCTTTTGTTTTAAACAATGTTTTCCGCTGCGTTATGAATTACTTATTATGTTTGTTTATGGATGTTATGTGTGTGAATGATATTCAAGACGCCTTGTATAATATGAATGTGTTGGACTGCGGTTGACTATTCGTATTGTACGGCGGGTTGTTGACGTGTCCGGGGAGGTCCGAGGCGTGACAACTATAGCGTTGCTAACGGTCCCTGATTGCAGCAACTACGCGCCACGATTACGGAGTGCAGGCTGAGTAAAACCATGAGTGTGGACACCTATTACACAACACTCATGGGGCTATTTGATGAACTTTATCGGCTGAAACCGCTACACGTTTGCTCGTGTGGGCAGTCCACATGTGACATTGTTGGGAAATTCGCAGCCGATCGAGAAGAAGAAAAATTACATCAATTCCTTGTTGGGATTGATGATGATGCTTACGGAACAGTAAGGTCCAACCTCCTGTCTCAAACTCCGTTTCCAGACCTGGGATGTGCGCATCAGGCCTTCTTGCAGGAAGAGAATTCAAGGGCGATTGCATGTGGGAAGACTGTAGCAGCGGCTGAAGTTCAGGCGTTTGCACTGAAAGCTGACCGCACTGCCAGAACTCGGGATGACAAGGTAGAACGTGTACGACCGGTTTGTACACACTGCCGGCAGAAAGGGCACGAGATATCGACGTGCTTTAAACTCCACGGGTATCCAGAGTGGTGGGAGGAATGCCAACGTGCTAAGGGGCAGACCGGAGGTTGAGAGGGACAATCTGCCCGACGGGGAGGTGTACGCACGCATGCCGTAGCAGCCTTTCCTTCACCTGATGGTGGTAGTTCCTCAGATGTAAAACAGAGTGGGGGCTCTGGCAATGAACCGAATGGGGTGCCCTCTTTGAGTAAGAAGCAAATCCAGGCTCTTCTGAACCTAATTAATATTGATTCACGTTCTTGTGATCGCATGTCGGGTAAGCTTTTATCTCGTCTTGATTGGATCATCGATATTGGAGCATCTCATCATGTTACCGGCGATTTTACATGTCTTCTTCATCCTATGCATATACATGCCTGCCCGGTTGGGCTGCCAGATGGTAGGCAGGTTGCTGCCAATTATGAAGGGAGTGTACCCCTATGTGACGGAATTACTCTTGAAAATGTGTTATACGTGCCAGTATTGAATTGTAATCTTATCTCAGTTTCTCAGTTGACCGATCAATCTGCATGTATTATCACTTTTACTAATAATTTTTGTGCTATACAGGACCAACGTTCGAGGAGCCTGATTGGAGCAGATGAGAGGTGAGATGGGCTGGACTACTTCCGAAGACTACCTGCTGTTCATGCTGTTCGAAGAGGTGCTTTGACAGAGTTTGATTTATGGCATCGGCGTTTGGTTCATCCTTCTGACCGGGTGCTAAAGTTATTACCTTGTTTTTCTATTAGTAATTTACCGAAGAAATTAAATAAGGCTTGTGAAGTTTGTCCAAGCAAGTTCGGGATTCTTTTCCGCTTAGTAATAATAAAGTCAGTCGGATTCTTGAATTAATTCACTATGATTTGTGGGGACCCTATAAAACCCCATCTACATGTGATGCAATTTACTTTCTTACGCTTGTTGATGATTATTCTCGGGCTGTCTGGGTGTATTTACTTCGGGACAAAAATGTGGTGCATAAATTCTTTCCTTCATTTTTGGCTATGGTTGATAAACAATTTAATGTGCCTGTTAAATTGTACGGAGCGACAATGGTACTAAATTTGATTGTATGCTGCCTGCCTTTGATGCCCGGGGATTTTATTCCAAACCTCTTGCGTTCACACCCCACAACAAAATGGGCGAGTTGAGCGTAAACATCGGCATATTCTAAAGGTAGCTCGGGCCTTGATGTTCCAAGCAAATGTACCTGTAACCCAGTGGGGTGAATGCGTCCTCACGGTGGTGTACTTGATTAATCGGATGCCGTCGGGTGTTTTTGGGGGAAAGACCCCTTATGAGGTTCTTACAGGGGTCATACCTACACTCTCTCATTTCCGCATTTTTGGGTGTCTTTGTTTTGCGCATAATCCTTACTCTCGTGGTGATAAACTTGCCTCTCAGAGTCGTAAATGTGTTTTTCTTGGCTATCCTCATGGTAAAAAGGGATGGAGATTATATGATTGGGATACGGGGGATATCTTTGTGTCTCGGGACGTGCAATTTCACGTGGAAGAATTTCCGTTCACTTCCCATGTCACTAGTTCTACTCCTACGAACACACCGTCTGTGCTTGGCGAGTCAACCTCGGTATTTGACCTGGATGACGCACCTCCGACTACTACTGCCACCGACCACGATATCCCCTTGGTTCAAACCGACACACTACTGCCTTCATTCCGTCTTCACAGACTTTTACGGGTGACCACGCGGAACCTCCACCCTTGAGCCGCGGGTTGAGATCTAAACGGACGTCCGTCCTGCTTCGGGATTTTGTTACGCATAAGGTTACAGTCAGCCCATCTCAGTCGCACACCGGTTCCGTCAGCTCCTCAGGTACGCCTTATCCTATAGCTTTTTTCGGAAATGTGATAAATATTCTTCCCGACATCGGGAGTTTCTTGGAACTATTCTTGCAGGTCAAGAACCTTGGTCTTTCCGAGATGCTATGGCTGATCCGGGCTGGCGCCAAGCCATGCAACGTAAAATTGAAGCTCTCGAAAATAACAAAACTTGGACCATGCAGCCGCTTCCTCCGGGTAAAAAGGCTCTTGGGTGTAGGGCTGAGCAAAACCCGATCCGACCCGAAAAACCCGATATTTTTTTCGGATATTATCCGAACCGAAGTGGATATCTGACCCGAAAAACCCGAAACCGAAAATCCGATTAATATTGGGCCTAGATCGGGTGGCGGGTAGGGTTTGTAAAATTCCAACCCGACCCGCCCGAATATCCGAAATATATGTTAGTGTGTACTTTGAATATGGTAAATTAATACTTGCATCCAATTATTTGTGTAATTAATCTAATTATATTGTGCAATTTGTATTAAATGATTTGTGTAAATTGAATGTGTAGTGCACTAGTGTGTATAATTTTTGTCAAAGTTGCATTCCAACACTTTAATTATCCAATTATAATGTGTTTTAATATAACCGAAATATTCGAAGTATATTAAATTATGTAGTGTGTACTTTGAATATGTTAAATTAATACTTGTGTTCGATTATTTGTGTAATTATTTGTGCAATGTGTGTTAAATTATTTGTGTAATTTGTATTTTTAGTGCACTAGTGTGTACAATTTTTGTCAAAGTGGAATTTAAACACTTTAATTATTCAATTATATTTTTTTAATATAATCGAAATATCCGAAACCCGACTCGATATCCGATAATATCCGACTTAAAAATATCCGAAATACCCGATCCGAAATATCAAAGGGTCGGGCCTAGTATTTAAATTAAAAAACCCGAACGGTTTTAGGGTTCGCAAACCCGACCCGCCCGAACCCGACCCGTGCACCGCCCTACTTGGGTGCAAATGAGCGTGTAAGATCAAATATCGTTCCGATGGCACTGTTGAGCGTCTAAAAGCCCGTCTTGTTGTTTTTGGAAATCACCAAAAGGAGGGCATTGATTATACCGAGACATTTGCACCCGTCGCCAAAATGGTCACTGTTCGCACTTTCTTGGCGGTGGCTGCCGCGAAAAATTGGGAGTTGCACCAGATGGATGTTCATAATGCCTTTCTTCACGGCGATCCGAGAGAGGAAGTTTATATGAAATCTCCTCCTGGTTTTTATTCATCACAGCCTGGACTTGTTTGTCGATTGACAAAATCTCTATATGACCTGCGTCAGGCCCCTCGCCGTTGGTTCTCTAAATTAGTGACCTCTTTACGGAGTTATGGGTTCACTCAGTCCTATTCGGATTACTCATTGTTTACCTTTCGCCAGGATCGAATTGAATTGCATGTGCATGTATATATGTTGATGACTTGATTGTTGTTGGGAATAATTCTGTTGCATTATCCAAATTTAAATCATATTTACACTCCTGTTTTCACATGAAGGATCTGGGTGTTCTAAAATATTTTTCTGGGCATAGAAGTAGCTCGCGGGCCCTAGGGACTATTTCTTTGCCAGCGCAAATATGCTTTGGAAATTATTTCTGAGACTGGTCTTCTTGGTGCCAAACCGGCTCTTTTTCCTATGGAGCCCAATCATAGTTTATCTCTTGATACGGGTTCTTTGTTATCTGATCCGGAATCATATCGGTGACTTATTGGACGGCTCATTTATCTATCTTTTACCCGTCCCGATTTGGTTTATGTTGTTCACATTTTATCACAGTTTATGCAGGCCCCGCGAGAAGAGCATTGGACTGCAGCTTTACGCGTCGTTCGCTACCTCAAAGGTACACCGAGTCAAGGAATAATTCTCAGTACTATGTGTGATTTCTCTCTGCATGGATGGTGTGATTCCGACTGGGCCAATTGTCCACTCACCCGGCGCTCTCTTACTGGATGGATGGTTTTTCTTGGTGGTTCTCCTATCTCATGGAAGACTAAAAAGTAGCATACAGTTTCTCGTTCTTCTACCGAAGCTGAATATCGCTCTATGGCTGCCTTGACCGCGAAACTAAAATGGCTTAAGGGCCTTCTCTTCACTCTTGGAGTCGTTCCTGCACAGCCCATGTCTTTATTATGTGATAGCAAGTCGGCTCTTCACATAGCTCATAATCCTGTTTTCCATGAACACACAAAGCATATCGAAGTTGACTGTCACTACATTCCTGATGTCATTCAAGAAGGATTGATTGTTGCCCGTCACGTGTCCGCGACTGACCAGTTTGCTGATATCTTTACTTCGTATATATCTGTGTAGTTTTACTATTGGGCCAAGGGCTTTGTTGTGTAATTTACTTGTATAAATACCCTGTACTAATTAATTCAATTAATGAAAATCATTCATTCCCTAAAATACTAATCGGCCAACATTTCTTATACAGTCGTACTTCATTAATTTTTGTTCACTTGATCTGTCCTTTGATTACTCTGCCTCCAATAAGATTTTTAATGGATCTGCCACTTACCATTGGGATAATGAATGGAAGCGGAGATGGACAGTTTCCGTCTACCATTGATTATGAGAGACCACCTATAGTACATCACTGTGACTTTTGCATGCTATAAATAGATGTATTGCTGGTAATTGTGATGTTTGCAGATGCATACACAATAGAAAAGGCTCAATGATTTATTCTGAATCAACCAATACTGAAGCAAGGAACGTGCCAAATGAAATATGAAATAAAGGCTAAAATAAGACTCATGACTTTTCACTTTCCAAAAGTAGGACCTATTTTGAAATGGACAAAAAAGAGGCTTGTGGACGAAATCTTAACGTACGGATGAAAGAGACCTGCGGACAAAATCTCGGCTCCATCGCCATGACCACTTCCGTTACGGATGAAAGCAAAAGACCTGCGGACGAAATCTCGGCTCCATCGCCATTCGACCACTTCCACTTCTGCAACAGACGAAGAGGTAGCCGACAACAATGGAGGCAGGGACACAGGAGACGGCCAGCACCAGTGACGTCGATGGCACTGCAACGCCGGCATTACAGTGGCAGATCGAGCTCGGTCTTCCATCTTCTAGCTCAACGACGGTGAGTTTTGGTGGCTGGTACTGATCTGTCTTCCACCTTGAGTCTGACCAAATTGTTGTTGCGTAGATCTAGAATTTTTTATTTAGGGAGATAGGAGTTCGAGCAATTGGAGAGAGGCTGAGAATAGCGAGGCTAATGTTGGCGCCGGCTAGAGTTGGCGGGTAGGGTGCGGCGGTGGGGAAGGTTGGAGAAGCATGTTTGCACCGCTCGTGAAAGGGAAGGACTGGGTAGAGTGCTGAATGGGGGCTGTTGGCGTAGGGGGTTGGAGGGGGTTCTCAAGGAGGGTGTTGTAGGGCTGCAGGGGTCTGGGTGAGGGTGTTGGAGGGGGGCTGTGGGTTGCTAGAGGTTGGGAGAGGTGCTGGAGGGGGGCTGGAGGCTGGAGGAGGGTGTTGAAGGGGGCTGGGTGCTGCTGGGGGGCTGGGGGAGGGTGTTGGAGGGGGCTGGGTGCTGCAGGGGGGGGGGGGGCTGGGGAAGGTGTTGGAGGGGACTGGGGGAGGGTGTTGGAGGGGGCTGGGTGCTGCTGGGGGGTTGGGGGAGGGTGCTGGAGGGGACTAGGTGCTTCTGGGGGGCTGGGGGAGGGTGTTGGAGAGGACTGGGTGCTGCTGGGGGGCTGGGGGAGGGTGTTAGAGGGGGTTGGGTGCTCCTGGGGGGGCTGGGAAAGGGGCTGGTGGGTGATGGGATGTGGGCTGTCACCGCCGAGTGGTGGCGTTGATCCCCGTTGGGCGGCGATGATGGTCAATGCGGTGGTTGGGGGTGGTGGTGGTCGGGGCGGCATTGTCGGCGTTGGTTGAATTGGTCATGGTCATTAATTGGTTTGGTCACTGGTCGAATTGGTCATGATCAGATTGGTCACGACCGGTTTGGTCATGGTGAGTTTGGTCATGGTCGCATTGGTCATGATCGGGTTGGTCATGGTCGGATTGGTAATGGTCGGATTGGTCATGGTCGGGTTGGTCATGGTCCGATTTGGTCATGGTCAGGTTGGTC